ACACGGCTCTGATGCAAGGGGACCCGCTTTTAGCCGCGGAAGTGTTGACACCTGAAGCCGTATGTACTGAGTTGGTTTTCCCGGAGTCTGTTCAGCAACATGTCAAAATATGTGTCACGGCAGCTTGCTGTCTTTGGTAAGCATGGCACTCCAACCAACCTAGGTAGTCTTCTAGTCAACGGCTCCTCTTCGGCAGACTTCGAAGAACAACAGTGGCACAAGAGAGCCCTGGCATCTAGCTGCTCCCACATTCTTAAAAGTGCAAGCAGCGTCTGGCTTCAGAATCCCTGCCGTGCAACCCAGAAGAAGATCGGATGTCGTCATCAACGGTAGCTCCAGAGGATGTTGCTGAGCAGCATGGGGGATGAGCTGCATATCCTGCGCAGAATCGTTACCGTAGATTCGCTGCGAAGCATCGGAAAGCACTCCGTGTTCTTTCGTCCTCTACCCCACAGACCTTTACACTTATGGCACCAGGTCTTGTTGGTTCATCTTTGGCAGGATCCGCCGAAGATTCTTCGGCCCGTGAAGTTTGACACCATCGTCGTGGACGAGGCAGCCCAGGCTCCTGAGCCCGACGTGGTGCTGCCCTCCACCTGTGCCACGACCCGGGTGGTGGTGGTAGGCGGACGCTGTGCGTATCGGGTTGAGGGTTGGGAGGTCCAACTGCAAGAGTTCGAAACCTAAAAATCCCAAACCGAAATACCGACAACGTCTGGGGGCTGGTGCTACATACAGGTGTGTGCCTTTGATGGGGGTCCGGGACTTCGGGCTGTCCCATCGCAGGTGACCACAAGCAGCTTGGCCCGGTGGTGCCCGAGCGGAATTTGTGTGCGCCTTACGTCAGCGTCCTGGAGACGCCCTTCCTGGAGCGGATGCTCAAAAATCCACGGCGATGGGAGGCAACATGTCCTGTCGCTACAGTCAAGAGTTAGAGAGCCTAAACCCTAAACCCGGTATTGGATGGTGGTCAGGAGTTAGAGAGCGATTTGTAGGAGGTCTTTCCGCAGCAGGGACTCAGAAAGCAGGTAGAGCATTAGTGGGCAGCACCAACACGATGCTAGTGCGTCCACCACAAAGCATGGCACAAAGCCATGCTTTGTTTGTGAGGCCAGCACGATGCTGAACATGCAGTACCGCATGCACCCGTCGATTCGGAGCTTCCCATCGTCGCAATTCTACGACTCCAAGCTTGAGGACAGTGTCTCCATCCCTCATCGCCCTGAGCTGCCTCCTGGCGGACATCCAAAGTCTAGCCAGGGTTGAAGGTTCAAGAGGTTCACCCAACGACAGGTCCCAAGTAATTTCACTCCACTAGTACAACCAAGCATGAACAAAGATGAATAGTAATATTACTGTTAACATTAAGGAACCGCATTTGGCCACATGAGAACGAGCACCGCCGCTTCATCGATTGCCAGACTCCACAGTCTTTGGGCCTATCACCCGAGCTCAACCGTGCCTGCGACGCTGCCCTCATGGAGAACAAGACATCCCTCAAGAACGCGCCCTGAGCCGTGCTGGAAGGGTCCTCTTCTCTACTTCTC